TTCATGTTGTGGCTATGGATGCTTTTGCGAATGACTTCACTATAGCTTTCTTAAAACAATATCGAGGTAATGATATATGAATTTTCGATAATAAATATCAACCACATATAGGCGAAACTGTTAAGATTCTTTATGATCTGGACAAAGGTTTAGAGGCTATGAGAAGAGGTCTTAAGATGCTCTGAGAAGGCAAGCGTGTTGCTTTTGCAATAACATCATGTAAAAAAGCTCGAGCTTTAGCAAACCAAGCTTCTGCATTGCAAAAACTGAATGGTTCACCTATTTTAACTCGTGTTTATTTTGGCCAAATGGATGGAATGCAATGACAAGAGGATTTCACTAATATTAATGCTACCTGGAGTTCTTTTAACTGCGTGATTTACACAAGTACTGTAGAAGCTGGCATCTCCTTTAAAATTCCTAATCATTTTGACGCTATTATAGGAATTAGCAATATTAAAACAGGAGTACATGTCAAAACTTTTGCACAGATGCTTTATCGAATTTGGGATTGTCCACAATGCATAATTTCTTTATATAATAGTCAGAAGTCCTCTGAAATATTTTAAGAGCCAAATCGTAGTCTTATTCATGCTGAACTTTCTGCTTTAAGACCTATTAATTTACCAACAGCAATAAAAAGGCATCGGGAATGCGATAAAATTGCTGATTGTTATGCTCTTGATGTATTTCCAGCAGTCGAAACATATATTGAGGCTGAATACCAAAGACACTTATCAGCAAAGTACTTTTCCGAAATTCTTTGCGGTCTTTTTTTTAGTACGGAAGCTTCACTTAAAATTATTTCTACAGAAGGTACTATAGCCGATAGGAAAATAGTTTCTAACATTATTAAGGCGGTTGAAGAAAATATCAAAGGCTCCAATGTAGAATTAATAGTCAACGCACCTGATATCACTCCAGATGATGCTGAAGTTCTTAAACAATTTCCTACCCGCTCATTTACTGATAATATGATATTACAATGACACTATTTATGAAGAATATACGCTTCAGGAGATATTAGAGGTAAGGATGATAATCAGGACTGGGACATGGATGATGCCAAATGGATTAATCTATGCAATATCAGTTTTGTAAAAAAATTTAATAATCCTGAACCTTTACAACACTTTAGAAGACTGGCATATTTCTGAAGATAAGGTTCAGATGCAATAAAAGTTTTAGAAGGGTTAAAAACTAAAGAAACTATACAGTGGGAGGAATCGCATAATTCCTCAGATCCATCTTCAATTGATTTACAAAAGGCATATTTGTTTAAACAGTAGAAGGCGATACAGGAACTTTTTCAAATACTAGGCTTTACTGGCATTGATGATATATGTACTCTTTCAGGTAATATTATTTCAGAAGCGTTTGCTCAATCATGTGAAAGATTTATGAAAATCTGAAATCAATCCTTATTGCTCTTTGGATTTAAATCTCGTACAAAAGAAATACCAGATCTTAAATCAGCTATAAAAGCAATTAATATAATTGCTGGTAATTGGTGCAGATATACTGTTAAAAGTGATAAAAAAAGAATAGGACCTAAAGGACAACAAGTTTGACAATATTCATATTAAATTAATCACCGGCTATATAATGGTACTGGTTTTAGAGATAAAGGCGCTCCAGAGCTTCCACCATACAGGCTGAAAACAGATAATGATATTCAGGAACTCTTTGACTCTATAGAATAGGAAAAATAATACTTTGGCCAGATTATTATTCAGCTAGGTGTCTCGATCATGTCTGATTTCATTTTAACTTTTTTACCTTCACGTCAGGCATTTTTATAAATTCTTTTATGTGTGCTACAGATTTCAGTATCAGAATATGTTAGCTCATTACAGATAGGATATATTGTTCTAGAAAGGGCATTAAAATGTTTGGAATACCCTAAATCACTTATGCACCCTTTCCCACACATTGAACTATCTTTCTTGATGTATTGGCAGATAAAATGACCCATACGAGGTAATTTTGATATTAATAATCTTAAAACTTCACTTTCACTTTTATTATAGATATTCAAATTCCTTTGCTTTAGTGCCTTCGGCCAAAGTTACAAATCTTACTCACTCTTTTTACGACTCTCTAGCCAGATTTTCTTATAAACTGGTTTAGCATGATTCATACAAGAGCCAGTCAGCCTATTATAGCAGGATGCGCACATTTTTTTTCTGACGGAGACCTATAGTATTTGCTATATCCATCCTTATAAAAGTATCTTTTCCTGTAGATAGACCTATCTTTTTTTTTATAAGACAAGACCAAGATGAGTAATTAGAATCTATAGAGTCCTCCAAATCAGATATGTATTCACCAAAGAGACCAAAAGGCATAGTACTTCAGTTTTTAAGATTAAACTTATCTTTATTTTTATTATAAATATTTAAAATATATTATGCCAGTCTATGAAGTGCCTTAATGACGGAGCATAAACTATATCATTTTTTTTCGCTTCTTTAATCTAATAAAGAGCCATCTCTGATATTTTCCCTTTTCGAAAAAGTATAGTTCTGAGGAAATTTTTTAAATTGAATTTTTTCTTACATAATATAACTAGATAACAGTTAGTATTGACATAGCTACCAAAATGCACAGGTCAAATAATTTCAAATAGGAGATTAATAAGGTTGCCAAATTTGACCCTATTGGTCTCCTATTTTTTTTTACCAATATTCAATTAAGTATCCTGATTGGCGTCAGAAATTTGCGTCAGAAAAGATCATTCAGATTCTAATGGGTTCTAATAGGGTTGATTTATTATTGGTATAATCAGTATACTGATTGATATCTTTTAGGCCAATAGAAAAACATCTGATTGATAACATTTTATCTAATTTTCAACATACTGATTGATAACTTTTAAGCTAATTTTATTCAATAATAAATCTTCTGATTGGTACCATTTGTATATTTTGTATAATTTGAATTTTTTCGATTTATTGCAATTTATTTTAATTACATAGTGAAATAATACAAGATTATAATATATAAATTTTTATAAAATTACTAAATTTATTATTATGATATCCATTAGTCAGTATCAGTAGTATTGCTATCATATTCTTCTAATAAAAGACTTTTGCTTCTTCAGCCTCTATCTTTATCGTCTTTCCCTCCTGATCCTCCTTATTATCATCATTATCATCATCATCATCATCCTTATTACCCTCATCTTTATCATCCTTATCATCATCATTCTCATCATTATCTTTCTTATCTCTATTCTCATTATCTTTGCAAAAGTAATGACTTAGTAAGCCATTATATCCTTTACAAGTCCAATTTGGGACATTCATAGGAGCTTTATCTTCATCAGTTGCAAATTCGTCATTGTTATAAATTCGCTTCCTGGTTCTGAAATCTTTTAATACTATAGTATCAATATAATTACTCAAAAAATCACGTAACTATTTTTTTTTAAAAAAAACTTAAATTAGTATAACATACCGATTAGTAAAAAAAAACAAATTGATTAAATAAAATCACGGTAAAAGATCGCTATCGCATGTCTTTGACAATAATTTTTCTTTTATTATTTTCTTCGTCGGTTTCCGATTCTTCTGGACTATGATAATAGTTATCAGTTCAAATCGGTTGAAATTCATGATCATGAATTTTTCCAATCAAACGATCTTCTAACCTTATTAATTTGTTAATCATTTTCATACGGCGTTCTCATTTCTAAATAATAAAAAGATTAAAAAAGGTGGAAAATAAATAACACGATTTTTTACTTACTTCATTACGTCTCGCATTCGCATATTTCCTTCATTTTTCTGTATCGTTCCGATTTGGTCCTTTGTTTTCTTTGAAATGTTCCTCTCTCTGATAACAGTGTCTTTCGTGAATCATATGCTTTATGACACCATCAGAAACTGAAAATTTCCTCTTAATTGATTTTTGAATAATTGTATTATATTATTATTAATGGTCTTTTGTTGACTTTCAGAAGTCCTATTGATATCCAATCTTTAGTTTTCTGGAAATCTATCGATTATACCAAAGATTTCAGTCTATTTAGATACAAATCGGTTAGCAACAATTCACACAAATAAAAAAAAATAAAAAAAGAAAATGTGTTACACTCAAAGCATTATGTAACTCCCTATCCATGTCATCGTAATAAAGATATATTGGACTAGAAGAAACCGAAGGCGAAGGTAAAGGTAAAAAAGAGGAAAACTGATTGCTTGATTCTGAATATTCTTTTTGTGATCATAATTGTGATCTTTTCGAAGAACCAGCCTGCTACTTATATCTAACATTTTTCGAAGAACCAGCCTGCTCATATCCAATATTTCTTTTATTTGATTTATTTTGAGGTGAAGTATATTTGCTTGCTGTTTTTTCTTAATAACGAACATATCGGTTCTTTCGGTTTGCTACTTTTTCTTGTTTTTTTTTGATAATTCTTTGAGACCTCCTTTTGTTTGCCTTTGTCTTTTTTAATAAGGTTTCTAGCAATCTTTTAATTTGGTCTACTTGAGTTTGTAAAGAATCTATTATATTTCAAAAAAGAAAGTTAATTTTATTACAAATAAGGTATGTCAAATCGGAATGATTAACAATATATAGTAAATGTATAGTATATAAGTTGTATGTAGTACTTTATGCATTCTATACCAATAAAGCTAATATTTTTTGTAAAAATGTATAACAATATAAATAAACATGCTGATTTGATCATCATTTTTATCCACGTCAATTAGGATTGGCTTCTGTTGCTTCTGTTGGTAATGATTTTTCTCATCAGGATCGGAATTGCTAAACTTGGGGTCGTTAGGTCTAGAGTCACTAGATGTAAATATTATTAATCGAAATAAAATAATAAAATAATATATTAAAAATAAACTGATTTAGATCTAAATCTACCATTGTTTTCTATCATTCTTTTGTTCTTTCAGAACATCAGACTTATTTCGTTTATTGCTCTTATTGCTATTTTTTGGTGGTTCATTATTGGAAGAAGACTCTCTATCCAAAATATGACGTTTAATGGACTTCTTATTACTGGTCATATTAATATTGCTATTGGAGAATTATATTAACATTGACAATAGTAAATCAGTGACAAGAAGGTAAAGAAGAAAGAAAAGTGTTTAGAAGAAGAAAGAAAAGTGGTTAAAAGAATATCTACGAAAATGTAGCTTACCGTATAGTCCCGAAAATAAGCATTACGTGATATATATGAATTTATCAGTATATACGTGACTAATAATATAATAAATTCTATGTGACAAATAAATAAATTACTATAAAAGGAGCGTGTTACAGGGTGCTTATTTTCGGAACTATACAGTAATAAAAATATCATATAATAATTAATATATTACATATATTTTATAAATTTTGTAAAAATTACAAATTTAAGAATGCATTATATTTATACTTGGGTATTAATAAATTTTCATAATGTTTAACTTTGAAAAGTATCTAGATACTATTTATGACTAAATAAATATGAATAGTGAATAATATTCAGATATTAATCACAGGAAAGTATTATTTTTAGAAGGATACTGTATGTAATAACATAAGATATTAGTTATCTTATTAGTAATAAAAACTAATTAAATTTTAATGGTTATTAAAAAGATCTTAGAAAATTGTCTACTAAAATTGTCTGTCTCTAATCAAGTCCTAAAATTATTCTATTTATACTATTTATACTAAATTCTCTAATATAAATAAATAAAATAATAATTGATTACAAATATAAAATGATTAATAATATAAAAGAAAATTTTGGTGTTTTTTAGATTTTTTACATAATTTTCGCTTAATTTATTTCTTTTATTTTTGTTATTTTTATTATCTAATATAGCATAATTAATATAACTTTTGGTCACATATATTATATTATATCAGTTGATATTTTAACTTAATATCCTTATAAAAAATCTATATATACATTATTCTCAAATGTTAAGATCTTTAATATATATTTTATATATCCTTATTCTTAAAAATAAAATTTAATATAAAAATTTATTACATATACTTTTATTTTAATTTAAAAATGCAGGGTATTTAAAAGGATAGTATAGTGAAATTATTATATTTTTACATTATTTTTATTTTACTGAATAAACTTTATATTAATATTTAATTTTTATTTTATTAAAATATAAAAATTCCTTTAATGAGTGAATCTTTTAATATTATCAAAATTTTTATAGCATTATTTGTATAGTTAAAGTAAGATAAATAGATAGATATTTTTGAAAAAAAAAAATTTTTAAAATGTTTTAAAAAAAGATTTAAAAAAAAAATTAAAATAAGTCATCTTAAGAATATTGAATGAAAAAAAAAAAGCTTTAAAATTTATATTAAAAAAAAGTAGTAAATTGGATAAGGTAATAATAAGCTATATTTATGATAAATATATAAATATAATATATTTTTTTTAGATTTTCTGACATATATAGTAATGAAATATATTATATCTAATGTGATTTTATCACTTTTATATGGTAATAACTAGTAATATACAAGCATTTTATAATATATAAAATAAATATTTATAATCAAGTAACATTTTCAATACTTTGAGAAGTTCTTAATGAAAAATTAAAGTTTCTTTCTGATTTAGTAAAAAATCTTTCTAGCTGATCTATTACTAGCATTTTGATAGTATATGAAAGATAAAAATCTAATCTGATCCTGTGAAGTTTTACTTAATTTAATTTATCAAATATAGAATTAAACTTAATCTAAGATACTATATTTTAAATGGTAATTATATTTGAAGATTTACACTGCTTATAAAAATAAAAGTGACTTAAATATAATCTGAAAATTCTAATACAAACTTAAAGCTTTTAAACATGACAGAAAATATTTTCAATCCTATCTTTTGAGACCTTAAGTCGAAAAAAAAACTATATATAATTTATATTTTTCATATCTATTAACAATAGCAAATACATCACACATGAACTTAAATAATAAAGCCCAATACAGGTGAATTATAAATTGTTTTATTAAAAATTTTATTAATAAAAAATAGCTAACTAGATGCAATTAAAATTTTAACTAATATTATCTTTGCATAATCATAAAAACATATTCATGTAATTTTTATTTAACTGAAAGCCAGATGTCTCATCCAAAAGCTTTAATGCTTGTCTTACTTTCTAACCTTTTATTTTTACTTCAATCATCTCATCAAATATATCTTTCATATTTACAACATTATTCTCAAATTCAAATTGAACTTTAGGTCTATTCAAAAATAGGTCTAAACTCTTCATTTCATTTTCTGATACTTCTTCTTGTAAATTTTTTAAATAATGAAAGCAGTTAATTCTCATTCTAATAGAAAATTAGGGTTAATAGTTGTAATAGTTATAATAGAAGTGGGATCTTTGGTAAGTGCTCTCTTAATAATGTAAAGAACATCACTTGAATTAACAGCTTAAAATATCATAACTGTTCTATTATTTGAAAGCTAATAGAATATTCAACTATTATTTAAGTCAGTGAGAACTAAGAAAATGTTATAATTTGAAAGAATATTTATCGCGATAAGCTCTGTAATAGCTTGATTAATGTCAAAATCTTGAACTATTTTCTTAATTCGAATCTAGCCTGAATTTCACTATGATAATCTAGAATACTATAAAAGCATTTATCCATTACCAACACATTTATCGTTTTACTTATGCTATATGAAAGTGAGACATCATTAATATTTAAAAGATCTTTTTTAGACTTTAGATCATATCAAACAAATGTTGAAGAGATAGAGATATTGTCACTTAGAAAATTCATATACTCTCATTTAATTATACGACTTTATAAATCTTTTTAATCCTCCGCATGTTGATTCTTAACTCATTTATCCTACACAAATTATTCATCAAAATTCTTATTTGTTAAATTCATATAGCTCGGTGATTAAGTAACTCATCCAAATGCGTTTGGTTTATATTTAAGAGAAAAACTTTTGGTCTTTTTATTTACCTGAAATAAAAAAAAATAACATAAAAAAGACTTAGAAAGAAATACTCAGTAAAAAGCATTTACCTATCAAGAATATTAGTAAATGATTTAGTTACTTCAGTAAATATGTTAATTGACCGCTTATATGATTCTACTTCTGTAGTTTTCAAAGGTATTTCTGAGTAAATATAAGAAGCATAAAGTTAATAAATTACATAAATGTTGCCTTAACTATTTTAATCACTTTTTTTACATCTTCATTCATCAATTTTTTCATTATTTGTCTATTTTATCTCAACAGGTTAACGCTTAAAAAGATAAATTCACTTATCAGTAATAATAAGAAAAGCAGGTATAACAATGACGTGAATATATTTGTTAACAGATGCAGAAAATTTTTTTATAATTGTATTCATAGGACTCAACACTTGACTATCCAAATTATTTATAACATTAGCATCTTGATTGCTGAGAGCGGTTTGTTAAGAGTTTTACATAGTAAAATTAATATCAACTTAATATAAAGTGAGATTAATAAAATTAAAGTTGACAAAGATCTTTCTCTTAATTAAGATAGTATCTTTGAATTCATTAATGGTCATATTCTTATTATATTTAATCCTAAATACAGAAGTTTTTGGATCACCATATACTAAACAGAAAAGTAGTGCCTTTTTAGATGGCATAATGATGCAAAATACAATTCAAGAAAGAGATTTTTTTTCATGATTACTAAAAAAATTTAGTAATTAGAATTTGCTTTTGAAATTAAAGTTTTTATCATCAATATTTTTTAAAAATTTGACCATCTTCAATGCTAAATTCATCTAATTATTATTAATAAAAATGTAATCTAAGTTTGTAAGGATTTTAAAGCTTCATTTGAAGATATTAGTAATGGTTCTTCTCAAAATAATTATTAGTATTATCTCTATTATACATTTTCTCTTGAACTAATTATATAATATCATTATTATCTAGAATATTTTCAGTTAAAATATTTTCTAATTTATGAAAAAAATTAGTTAATCTATTTTTTAATAAATTATTATAAGAAATATTACTAAATTTTTCAATTTTTTTAATAATTTGATCAATATTTACTATTTCACAATCTGTAAAATTTTATTGAATTCGAGTTTGCATTATCAACATTTTTATCAGTTAAGAAAAATAAAATTCCAGTTTTTTTTCTAATAATTATATATAATATCTTCAGTTATTAATATATAGTAGTAAAAATTCTTTTATAATGATTTTTAAAATTTGTAATTATTTTAACATTAAGTAGTTAGAAGTGATTTGTAATATTAGAGGATAAAAAGCTACTTTAATATGAGTTAATTACACTTAGATCTGTGACTTTTAGATCTACAATTGCTTAATTTATTATAATGATTTTTATCATGAAAAACTCTACCATAAACTTTTATTATAACTTTTATCATAATCTTTAGATTTACAATTATTATGACCTCATAAAGCTCAATTTTCTATATAAAAAATTTAGGTAAGTTATTTTTATTTAAATATTTGCTAATTATATTGTGTTTATTAAATAATAATAAATAGATTTTATATATAACAATAAAAAAATATATAATAATAAAATATGTAATAAAATACATAAAAAAATATAATAAAAATATGTAAAAAAAAAATATAACTAAAAATTCTATAACAAAAAAAAATTATATAATAATATAAAATAAGTATATAATAATTAATAAATTATAATTTACAATTAAATCTCTGATATTGAATTCTAATAGTAAGTTATATTGAAATTTATATAAAACTATTACATATAGATTTAATTTCAACTAAAAGCAAGATTTTTTTTTTTGCTTTAAAATAGTTATCTAATTCATAAAAAATTTCTTCAAAAAATCATTAAATTCATCTATACCTTTGAATTTTTATGATAATAAACTAAAAGTTGTTTAAGATTAATTTTTGAAAAGGTCTTATATTATCAATTATCTATTACTTTTACATTAAAAAGAATTAATTCATATTTTATCACCTATTATTATACTTTCTATCTACATATTTATAATTCTATTAAATTCTG